CGAGCGAGACTTCCCCCCTTTGTACTTCCTTCCTCGTATCTGGCGGGTTCTCGGGTGGACTACCGAGCCTCAGCCCCACGGCTGGTCCCTGAGGGGGAGTGTCCTCCTCAACGTCTATGATCTCATCCCCAATCCGTCCTTTTGTAGCACTCGGCCCCTCCTCTCGTTCAGGGTYTGGAACGTCCTCTTGTGGTACTTCCGCAACGGCCCCAATGCGCCTCTCACTCATCGGCGACTCTCTCCACTGGGCAGCATCCAGATGCGCCTCCAATGCTTGCAATGACCCTTCAACGGTCGGTATATCTTCCTGTATATGTTGTGGCGCTTCCCCCAGTCCTCCTCCAGTATAGCGGTGGAACTCTACTGGCCCCAATCCACCCTCGGGGTGCTCCTCCTGTCGTTCAGCCTTAGGCACGTCCTCCTCTTCCCGCCTAGCAAGCGCCTTTCGTCCTCTCCGCGAGGCTCGGTCCTCAGGGGGCTCAGGTTCCCTCCGCCTGTCGCTCCTGAGGCGCCTTTCGACTCTAGGCTGAGGTGGTTCTGGCTGTCGGAATGCCGCCCTCAAGTGCGCTCCACAACCATCCCAATCTCGGTCCATGTCCATGATCTGTCTGGCCAAAGGTCTTTTCGCCTTTCGGGTCCACAGGGGTAACGTCGTCACCCACTCGCTTCGCAGTATTCCCTGGTTCTGCATGAATTGCTCGAATGCTGGGATGAACTCCTCTGCATTCCCAATCTCCAGCCGAATAGGTCTGCCATCAGGCCCCACAGGTGACGGTCGCAGTTCCTGCATCCGCGCCTCCACTTCCGACCTCGTTCGAGCCCCCCTGCGAATCTGTGCGACGGGCTCCATAAACCTACTAACTCCCCTCAACCTCTCGATCGTCTGAGTCACGGTCCACCCCATATGGTCAGCGTGGCCCCATAACTCGTCCATGAATAACTTGATATCCCCATCGTTATATATTGGAGTGCTTGCTCGACGGTAAGGCCCATGTCGTCCATGTCCTCCTGATGCTCCCGCTGGTCGTCGTGGTGGTCATGTCCCCCTCCCTCCTCTTGGCATGGCTGCAAGTCAGTCCTGCACAACAGGCGAAGGAAACAACAAGCACGAGCCGGGGTAAGCAAACAGGCGACGAAGAGACACACTCAGGCCAAACCAAGCACATGCCCCCAAGCAATCCTTCTAATCTACAAACCCATTTATTCCATTCTAAGGGGACTGGTTGCCTATCTCACCTCTTCTCTGGCCACGAATTTCTTCAAACTCGTCCCTGACACCCAGTCTTTCCACTCTGTTCCATTCAGCTCCGCGATCTAGTATGCGCCGAACTCTCCGCATCGCACGATCCGATAGGGACCCAACCACCTCTTGTCCAGTTTCCTGGACCATTGTTTTTCTAGGGCTGAATCATACAAGAGCACGACGTTCCCAACTACCAAGGGTACCTTTCTTACACGAGCCGACTGGTCCTAGCGAGCCTTATCGTCCATACGGCTCCTCTCTACCTGGTCGGATGCCTCTTGGACCCTTTCCTCAATCACGCCCACCTGCCGAGCTCGGATATCGAGCAATTCTTCGAAAGACAGATCTACCTCCAAGTATTGACGCCTCCAAGTCTTTAGGAAGCTCTCGATTGGAAAGGTAGCATGTCTTCCATACCACAGTGTGGCCGGCGCGTACTTAGTGGTCCTTTTTACTGTGATGTTTTCAACGAAGAAGGCGGCCCTCAGATACCTCGGCCACTGGCTGGGCTTACCTTCGGTCCATTTTGCTAGTAAAGCCATAATGGTACTATAACCCCTTTCCACTGGAGCATTTGCCTGTGGGTGGGCGGCCGTAGTGTAGTTAGCCACTACCCCATATCTTGATAGCAGCTCTTGCACCTCCTGACAGGTGAACTCYGACCCCCTATCCATTACGAATTCCCTAACGAACGGGTAGCGTAGGTAATACTCCTCGATGCAGTTGACCAGAACTGACCCAGTCTTCGTACGGATTGCCCGTCCATCTACGAAGCCATATAGGTTGTCGCGCGCATCGAAGATATAGTTGTAGCCATGATCTCCAAGGGGCATGAACAATAAGTCGAGGTGTACTACGGCCCGACCTCTCTCTCCAGCCTCGGATGCAGTGGCTCTCCTGGCCTTAGACGAGACTGCTCCTGGCACGGCACACAGGAACGGCAGAATTTCCCAACCATCTTCATCATCCCGTCCCAGTAGTATAGCTCACTTATTTTGACATATGTGGCAGTAATTCCCCGGTGTCCGCCTGCAATGCCATCGTGAAGTGCTGCTATGACGTCGATCTGACGGTTGCGACCTCATACCACCCGCCTTGGGTTCCCTACTTTCCTTCTTACGAAGAGATGACCGTCCCTTACTAGGTAGCGATCCCTCATCATCTGCGTCCTATGGCTTGCGTCTCTATCACG